GGGCCCACGAGAGACCCCTCATTAGGAAGCTAGATCCCACATACTGCAACTTGCATGCCACAACTAAAACTTTCGAATGCCACAGCTAAGCCCGGGTGCACACCCCCCCAAAAAAAAACAAAAAAAAAAAACCCATAGCTTTTAAAGATTAATGAACTATGCAAGTATGTACACTAAACATATGAGAGTTGGAAGCTGGGTTGGGGTCAAATGGGAGTGGCACTCAGAGATGGGGAATACACAGGAAAAGCAAAATGGAGCTCATGTAGACTGATTAAGACAGTATGGCTTTATAAGGAGTATCTCTGCCCTTCTGAAGACAGGAAGAGAAAGGTTAGGCCTCTAAGAAATGTGGTGCTTAGAAAATAAGAAAATAATTCAAAAGGTCAGCCATGTGGAAATAACTTTGAAAGGGAACTTCTTTATTTTCTCTTCCCTCCCTGCTTTACTGTCTTGCCTGGCTCGAAAGGAACAAATCAAAGGGGAAATAAGATTCATTGCAATTGGATTATTTTTAAATGGTAATTTAATAATATTTTCTCTCAAGGGAGTAAAAGTATAGTGCAGGCTGAAGCTGGCACTTATCTAAATTTCATTGCAGTCATAGCAAAGTAGCAAGGGACAGCATGATTTATACCTCTATCAGAAAATTGTGAGAAAGCCTTTTAGCAGTAGCATCCCACCATGCCACAAAAGCACCTCCAGTATTTCCTTCATTTGTAGGATGAGGTCATTCACTGTCTAGCTCCTACTGACCAATTTCAGACTCCATTTCTATCCCACCCCTGGTAAAAGTGAAAGTGAAAGTCGCTCAGTAGTATCCAACTCGTTACAACTCCATGGACTACAAAGTCCATGGAATTCTCCAGGCAAGAATATTGGAGTGGGTAGCTGGTCCCTTCTCCAGGAGGTCTTCCCAACGCAGGGATTGAACCAGGGTCTCCTGCATTGCAGACAGATTCTTTACCAACTGAGCCATCCTGGTAACTTAACTTCACCCATCAGACTGACTCACTTTTCCACAAATAGACCCTGAGATTTCCTGACCATTTGCCTGGGAAACATCCCTTGAGTGGGAAATCCGTCCAGCAGTGCCCTGCTCAATCCTTACCCATCTACTGTAATCCTGTCATCTTTCTCTTATCCTAAACTAATGTCCCATTTATGAACTGCTGGAGCATTTACTTTATACACCATCCTTCAACAGATAGTTATTTTCTTTTAACATTTTGAAGATATCATTCCATTGTCTTCTAGGTTCCATTGTTTCTGTTTAGAAATCAATTATAAATGCACAGCTTAATGTCTTTCATTAATTTCTGAAAATTCTCAATTATTAACTCTCCAAATACTGCTCTGTTGCCCCTCATCCTTCCTTATGAGACTCCTCTCTGTAACTTTTTGTCTTTTATCTTCACATCTCAATACTATATTCTGGATACTGTCTTCCAATCCATTAAAAATTCAATTAATTCTCTCTTCAGCTCTCTATGCCACTGTTAAGCCCATTCACTGACTTACTAATGTGATTATTGTATCTATAGTTCTAGAATTTCTTTTTTTTTTAAAGATGCTCAGTAAATGTTTGTCAAATGAGTTGAATGGAGATTACCAAACTCTACGATGCCACAGATGTAAAAATGCATAGAAAAACACCCACAAATGAGCCTTTACAGTGTCTTTCCCACATACTTCACTAATATGCTTAATATTTTGTAATATTTACATTTGTTTTCAACAGCTTTTGTACTTTTATGGAATAAAATGGATTTCTCAAAACTTTATGGAGTGCATATACAAGGGTATGACTTCTAATGGCTTAACTTTTGATTATTTCCTGGGAACTAGTCAGGTCCAAGATCAGAAACCCTCAAAAAGAGATGAACCTGGAACAATGGACAGCAAAACACTGTTGCTTTTTTTTTTTTTTTTACAGTTTATATTTCTCTGTCAAAACTCTCAGTTTCATCTTTCATCTCTTATTGAACACAGCAAGCATAATTATTTTTAAGTCTGAGTTTTATAATTATTATCTTCTGTGGGTCTCTGGTTTCTGTTGGTTATTTTTTGTTCCCTTGTATGCTTGGTTAGGTTTTTTTTTTAGGGGAAATTAATATAGCATCAAAATAGCCATTTTAAAGTATTCAGTTCAGTGGCATTTAGTACATTCACAACACTGTGTAATCACTTCCTCTATTCAGTTCCAAAATGTTTTCATCACTCCAACAGAAAACCCCGGAACCACTAAGCAGGTGCTTTCATTTCCCCTCCCCCACTGTCTGGCAACTACCCGTTTGCTTTTCATCTCTATTTATGTCCTTACACTAAATGGATTTCTTAGAGGCAGCATGGAATTGGGTCTTGCTAGGCTTGCGTCCCTTTCCTTGTACTTTGATCTGAAAATTCTCAAAGCAATGTCTTGTTTAGTCGCTCAGTTGTATCTGACTCTTTCGGACCCCATGGACTGTAACCCACCAGGCTCCCCTGTCCATGGAATTTCACAGGCAGGAATACTGAAGTGGGTTGCCAGTTCCTTCTCCAGGGGATCTTCCCGATCCAGGGATCGAACCCGGGTCTCCTGCATTACAGGAGGATTCTTTACCGCTGAGCCACCGGGGAAGCCCCCCTCAAAGCAATAAGCTGGGGCAATCATTTGTTTCCTTTATCACAAGGATCACTGTCCTCTGTTGCCTGATGTCCAGGCTCTTGACAACCATTGTTTCATGTATTTCATCCATTTTTTTTTTCCTTTTCTTTTGGTTGTTTCAGGTAGGAAAGTAAATACAGTCTCTGCCACTCTACCTTGGCTAGGAGCAGAATTCTGCTGCCTTTTGAAAACATAATTTATGTGCTTTGGTTTAGCAGTTAAACTCATTCTATTCAATTTTAATGTTTGTTTTGAGGCATGCTGTCATTTAATCACGTTTTAACAAATCCTGACATTCACCATAGCTTGTATTGTTATAAAATATGCCCATGTCTTTCATGTTAAGCTTCCTTACCTGCAACCAGCAAATGCCAGTCTCCACACCCTTTCTTCCTTGGGAGCTAGAGCAAGCAGCATGTGTTCATGAACTGCTGAAGGTGTCCCTAGCCATCAGATACACTCCTATTTTAGCTAGCCACTCTCTAAAATTGAGACCATCACCCTCACCAACACTTAGGATGTCTATAGACCCCTTGGGCTCTAGGCAAGCCACTTAAAGCTCTGGGGCAGGGAGAGGGAGTTGATGCTCATTTTTAAATCCAACATACTTAACTTTCATGTGTTGGTAGATTTTTAAAAATAATTTCCATTTATATGAAGATATTTTGAGTTTTTTTCCTCTTTCCTAATCCTTGAATTTCACCCCCCGCCACCAGCCTATGAAAGTGAAAGTGAAGTTGCTCAGTTGTGTCTGACTCTCTGCGACCTCGTGGACTGTAGCCCACCAGGCTCCTCCGTCTGTGGGATTCTCCAGGCAAGAATATTAGAGTGGGTTGCCATTTCCTTCTTCAAGGGACCTTCCCAACCCAGGGACTGAACCCAGGTCTCCTGCATTGCGGGCAGACGCTTTAACCTCTGAGCCACCAGGGAAGCCCGCACCAGCCTATAGCACTTCTAAATAACTCAGACACTGTCCAATCCCACCGACCCTGTCCTGGGGTGGAACTTCATCTCAGAACCACTGGTGCTGTAATATACATGTGATCAGTTGCCATTACAGTCTGGTCAGAGGCAAAACTCCATGAGTGTCCCTATTTACAGGCTGACTAGATATCACCCTGGCTTTGACATGCTACCACCAACGAGCATTTAAACAAAAAGTAGGCTTTTGGTCATGCTCCAACTTCACCCCCCATAGAAACACGTTCCCTGCAGTTATTGCTCCATCTGGTTACTTATGAGTAACCAAAGATCCTCTTGTCATGGCAGGTCTAGTAATTTAAGTTGTTGTTGCTATTATTCAGTTGCTCAGTCGTGGCTGACGTTAGCGTCGGCCAGCGTCAGACAACCGTCTCATCCTCTGTCACCCTCTTTTCCTCTTGCCCTCAATCTTTCCCAGCATCAGAGTCTTTTCCAGTGAGTTGGCTCTTTGCATCAGGTGGCCAAACTATCGGAGCTTCAGCTTCAGCATCAGTCCTTACATGAATATCCAGGGTTGATTTCCTTTAGGATTGATTGGTTTGATCTTGCTGTCCAAGGGGCTTTCAAGAGTCCTCTCCAGCACCACAGTTCAAAAGCATCAATTCTTTGGTACTCAGCCTTCTTTACCGTCCAACTCTCACAACCATACATGACTACTGGAAAAAACACAGATTTGACGAAAAGGACCTTTGTCAGCAAAGTGATGTCTCTGCTTTTTAATATGCTGTCTAGGTTTGTCATAGTTTTTCTTCCAAGGAGCAAGTGTTTTTTAATTTCATGACTCTAGTCACCATGTGCAGTGATTCTGGAGTCCAAGAAAAATAAAATCTGTCACTGTTTCCACTTTTTCCCCATCTATTTGCCATGAAGTGATGGGACCAGATGCCGGGATCTTTGTTTTTTGAATGTGAATTTTAAGCCAGCTTTTCAACAATAATAATAAAAACTTTAAATTTCATTCTTGGGCTGGGTTTCCCATCACACCTGCAGGGGGAACATTCTGATACTTTTCTCTTTTCCCTCCAACCTCTTTTATGACTTTCAGCCTTTGCTGTGACCACTTGCAGGGCGGAGGGGAAGGAAGGGCAGGCAGTGCTTGTATAACTTGGAATTCCGTGATGCTCTGGCATCAGCCCTCCCCGTGAAGCAAGTCGTTTCTTCCCTGAGGTATTTTTGTGGGTTCTTCAAAGGTCTCCTAGTCTCTGGGGATCTCTTTCCAGTCACTCCAGACTCCTTCCTCAGCCTCCAGCTGTCTGATGGAGCCTCAAAGCTGTGGGCTTCCGAGAGTCGGGCAGCCTTCTCAGTTGGGACACAAGCTGACCCCAGGCCAGCTTTCTCATTTGAGTGGCTGAGTCTGGTCCTGAGGAAACACTCACGCCTTCCCTCCGTCACTTGGGAAAATAGCACCTGGGTCCAAACTGGGCTCACGGGAGCCCTCTTCTCGGTCCTGCTGCGCCTCAAGGCACATGCAGAGTGTGAAGCGTTTACTCATGGCTCTGTTCTAAAGCCGGAAGGCGGCAAAAATGCCAGGAAACAGAAACGTCTTTAGGGGAAGGGACAACCTGACCAGCTGGACATCTCAGTGAAGGTTCGGCTTCCCCTCAGGCCCAGAAACACTGCCCCATTGTAGGCTGAGTGAGATTTTGTTCCAGAATAGAAATGAAAACACGTGCATACACCAGGTGGCTTTCAGGGCAACCAATACAGTGTCCTTTGACCCATATTCATATCTAGAAACCTGAATGTGAGCAGAGGTCCTGACGACGCCTCTGGACGCCGCTTGCCTGGGGCTGACTCCCCAGATGGCGAAGCCACTGCACCCAGAACTGAAACCGCTCGCTCTTTCAGAGGAATTCAGCACAAAGAGCTGCTGACCGAGGTGTTGCAGGGCGGGGTAGGGTGGGGTGGGGGTTGCCAGAGGAGATAAACAGAAGAGGGAAGTTATCAGGATTGAGTCACTGACCCGCTCAGCGGGTTTGGCAGGTCATACTGAGAAACTCACAGCTTGAAGGAGCCTCCTGGAGATCGTTCAGTCTGCCCTTGGCAATCCCACTTGAGTGTCACAGATGAGGAAAAAACACTGTTAGTAATAATGGTGGGAGTGGGGGTTTAGTCACTAAGTCATCTCTGACTCTTGCGACCCCATGGACTGTATAGCCCGCCAGACTCCTCCATCTGTGGAATTTTCTAGGCCAGGATACTGGAGTAGGTTGCCATTTCCTCCTCCAGGGGATCTCCCCGACCCACGGATTGAACATGCATCTTCTGCATTGCAGGCAGGTTCTTTACCAACTGAGCCACCAAGGGAAGCCCCCGTAATAATAATACCTGCATTTTTTTTTAGCACTTCCTTTTAGTGTAAGCAATTTCCTAGGTGCTTAGGAAACACTGTCTCATTTACTGTTACCTCCTTTACTTCTCAGGACAATCCCACGTGGTAATTGCTCTCATTGGCTTCATTTTACAGATGAAGACACGGAAACTCCGAGAGATCCTTTCACTTGCCCAGGTGCCCGGGCAGGAAGGGCAGCATCAGGAGGCAGGCCTGCGCACGTGGCCCTGTGATTCCCCAACACCATCACACCGTATCGCAGATGAGTTCACTTGGAACAAGGTTTAAGATCTGCAAGGGCGGTGCACCCCTTTTTCACGCTTCAGGTTCAGAGTCCATAAGCAGTGCTGTTGCTTTGGAAATATCAGATTGAAATGCCCAGGGTACAATGTGAAGACGAGGCCACCAAGGGAAAAGCAGAGGTGTGAATTCATGCCAGCCATATTCACCAGCACCCCACAGTGAAAGCGAAGTCGCTCAGTCTTGTTCGACTCGTAGTGACCCCATGGACTGCAGCCTACCAGGCTCCTCCGTCCATGGGATTTTCCAGGCAAGAGTACTGGAGTGGGTTGCCATTTCTTTCTCCAGGGGATCTTCCCAGCCCAGGGATCGAACCCGGGTCTCCCGCATTGTAGACAGACGCTTTACCATCTGAGCCACCCGGGAAGCCCACCAGAGCCCCAGTGTTCCTGCAAATCAGTCCCTTTTGAGAAATGGAATATTTCCTGCCATATCAGGAAACAAAGATGTCACAGTCATCAATTCCAGTGTGAGTTCCTGGGGCCTAAGGGCACTCAGGGCGGAAGATCCCCTGGAGGAGGTCATGGAAATCCGCTTCAGTATTCTTTTTTTTTTTAATTGGAGGATAATTACTTTATAGTATTGTGGTGGGTTTTGCCATACATTGGCGTGAATCGGTCACAGGTACACTTGTCCCCCTCCCACCCTGAACCCCGCCCCCCACCTCCCTCCGGTATTCTTGCCTGGAGAAGATCCCATGGACAGAGGAGCCTGGCGGGCTACAGTTCATAAGGACCCAAAAGTCAGATATACCTGACCGACCAACATTTCACTTTTCACAAGGCACATCTAGATCTCCTCACAGTAGGGCCCCAAGAATATCTGATTCCATCTGAGTCAGATTCCATTACACCAGTTAAGCTGTTTCCTATGCCTAAAATGTAAACCATAAATCCCTTCCACTATTTAACACTCTGGGTGGTTATCATGATGGGGAAACATTCCTAATCTCAGGGGTTGTGTTCATAGTAGGGTCAGTAAAAACCACACACACACAGACCGTGACCCACACCCCACAGGGCCCTGGATGTGGGGGTGAGTCCCAGAGGAGAACGATCACATTGCAGGTTGTGACTATTTTTTAAGTCGACACTTTGCAGGCCTCCAGAGGGGGAGCTGAACAGGTGACAGGGGTGAAACCAGGAGGAAGAAGGACAGCAGTCCTGGCACTGCGGAGGACGGGCCAGGAGAGGAGAAGAGGTGAGAGCCCAGGGAGCAAACCCTCGGAGAAGCGGGAAGGCCTGAAAGAAAGCACCAGTCTCTAGGACGGAAGGGCTCTGGACAAGGATAGGCCTCTGTGGGGAGAGAGTGAACTATACCCGAGGTCTTGGGTTGTGGGTGGGGAGTTTGGGGGGCAGTGGGCAGGGGGTGGGTGACTGCGTGAGGGTCATGGGCCCTTGAGGGAACAGAATAGATCTCAAGGGACAGCGAAAGGAGAACAGACCTCAGAACCTGCCCAGTGTTTGCAGGCAGAGTGTTGACTGCGCCCGGGTCTGCTGGTGTAGAATTTCCTACATTCGCACAGCAGCCCCCACACTACCCCCCCACCCCCTCAGTGCCCCCACAGTTGAGGCGCAGTCCACGCCACGGCTCTGCCGCATTCAAACGCACCACCGCCAAGCGTTCCAGCCTCTCTGAAGGAACACCCCAGCTCATCCTCTGCGGGACTCCTTGGGCCCTTAGCACGCTCTCCAAATGTCTTCTTTTTGTTCCCTCTGTGAGTTTGTGTTCCCACGAGATTGTGAGTGTTTAAATCATGACTTCTTCATCTCGGTACCCCTTCAACAGCTCCCTGACACCAAAGACAGTTATTTAGATATTAACAATAGTAGTTTGTCAACTCTACCAAGATGGGAGTAAGTGGTCATCCCCGGCCACAGCCAAAGGCGTGAGTGAATCAATGAACATGAAAATCGTATTCACCTTGCGCCCTCTTGTGGAAAAGAAGCCAAGAAACACTGTATTACTGCTGTGGACCATTCACCTCCTCTAATCATAGCGATAATACAATATTGAGTTTAAATATATTGAAATACAAACATGGGCTTCCCAGGAGGCGCTAGTGGCAAAGAACCCGCCTGCCAATGCAGGAGAAACAAGAAACGCGGGTTCCATCTCTGAGTCAGGAAGATCCCCTGGAGGAGGGCACAGCAACCCACTCCAGTATTCTTGCCTGGAGAATCCCATGGACAGAGGAGCCCGGTGGACTCCCATCCATAGTGTTGCAGAGTCGGACACGACTTAGGCGACTTAGCGCACACACACAGAAATACAAATAAATCTTTCAATATTTAATTTTAATTTGATATTATCATACATTTAAGAGTGAAAGTGAAGTCACTCAGTCATGTCCGACTCTTTTGTGACCCCACGGATCGAGACCCAGGTTCGATCCCTGGGTTGGGAAGATCCCCTGCAGAAGGAAATGGCAACCCACTCCAGTATTCTTGCCTGGAAAATCCCATGGACGGAGGAGCCTGGTGGGCTGCAGTCCATGGGGTCACTAAGAGTCTGACACGACTGAGCGACTTCACTTTCACTTTTCACTTTCATGCATTGGAGAAGGAAATGGCAACCCACTCCAGTGTTCTTGCCTGGAGAATCCCAGGGACGGGGGAGCCTGGTGGGTTGCCGTCTATGGGGTCGCACAGAGTCGGACACGACTGAAGCAACTTAGCAGCAGCAGCAGCAGCATGGCAGAAACCAGTACAATATTGTAAAGCAATTGACCTTCAATTAAAAATAAAGTTAAAAATAGAGCTACTGTATGAGCAAGCAATTCCACTCTTGGGTATATATCTGGAAAAAACCCCCACTAATTCAAAAGGATACGTGTACCCCAATGTTCATAGCAGCATTATTTATAATCGCCAAGACATGGAAACAAACTAAGTGTCCATCCACAATGCCATTTGCAACAACATGGATGGACTTGGAGAGCACTATGAAGTGCAGTAGGGCAGACAGGGAAAGACAAATACTATATGATATCACTTACATGTGAAACCTAAAAAATTCCACAAACTAGTGGATACAACAAGAAAGAGACAGACTCACAGACACAGAGAACAAAGAAGTGACTACCAGTTGGGAAAGGGAAGGCGAGAGGGGCTAATTAGGGGTTAGAGAGTAAGGTACAAACTGTTATGTATAAAATAAGCTGCAAAGATACATTGTACAACATGGGGAACATAGCTAGTATTTTATAACTATGTGTAGAATCTAATCTTCAAAAATTATCATCAGTATATTGTATTCTTGTAACATACGTTACTTTGTACATACATACAACAAAGGTCCACCTAGTCAAAGCTATGGTTTTTACAGTAGTCACATATGGATGTGAGAGTTGGACTATAAAGAAAGCTGAGCGCTGAAAAATTGATGCTTTTGAAATGTGGTGTTGGAGAAGACTCTTGAGAGTCCCTTGGACTGCAAGGAGATCCGACCAGTCAATCCTAAAGGAAGTCAGTCCTGAATATTCACTTGAAGGACGGATGCTGTAGCTGAAACTCCAATACTTTGGCCACCTGATGCGAAGAACTGACTCGTTGGAAAAGACCCTGATGCTGGGAAAGATTGAAGGCGGGAGGAGAAGGGGATGACAGAGGATGAGATCGCTGGATGGTATCACTGACTCAATGGAAATGAGTTTGAGCAGGCTCCGGGAGTTGGTGATGGACCAGGAGGCCTGGTGTGCTGCAGTCCGTGGGGTCACAAAGAGTCGGACATGACTGAGCGACTGAACTGAACTGAACATATAATATTGTACATCAACTATACTTCAATTAAAAAAAAAAAGGAGAGTGTCTTGGCTTCTCTTAACTCTTTGCACTTCCATATAAATGTTAGTATTTTAATTTACAGAAAAAGTGTTGAAATGTTCATTGGCATTGCATGAAATCTACAGATAATTTTAGAGAGAACGGTCATTTTTATGATGTCAGGTCTTCTAATCCATGAACACAGGATGTCACTCCATCTACTTCAGTCTTTAATTTCTCACAATAATTTTTCCATTGGTTCCTAAACAATCTCATCTACGGACTCTTGGATTTTTTTAAATTGCTGTAAAATATACACAACAAAATGTACCATCTTAACCACTTTTAAGTGTACCGTTCAGTAGTGTTAAGTATATTCATATTATTATGCAACCAATCTCCAGAAATCTTTCTATATTGCAAAACTGAAACCTTATATCAAATGACCCCCCCTACTCACTACCCCAGCCCCTGGAATCTCCCATTCTGCTTTCTGCCTCTGTGAATTTGACTACTATATTGACTACACTCATATAAGTGAAATCACACAGTATTTGTCTTTGTGTGACTAACTTGTTTCACTTAGCATTATATCCTCAAGATTCATCCAGATTGTATCATGTGCCAGAATTTCCTCCATTTTTAAGACTGAGTAACATTCCATTGTGTGTTTATGCCACATTTTGCTTATGTATTCATCTGTTGGTGGACATTTGTTCGGCTTCCATCTTCTGTGAATAATGCTGCTGTAAACATGGATGTACAAATATCTTTTTAAGACTCTGTTTTCAATCCTTTGGGGTATAAACTCTCAAGTGGAATAGCTGTATGATATAGTAGCTCTATTTTTAAAATTTTTTGGAACTGTAGTATGTTATTTTACTTCTTATAATTATTTTTAAGTAATGGGGAAAAGTTATAAATATTACAGAGTATATCTTGAAATAATTTTATGGTACAATATATTAATCCCAAAGTATTTTATATAGATCCCTGCTCTATATCAAAATTGATGAATTTTTTAAAATTTCCCGGTAATTTTGAGTAAATTTAACATGGTAAGGTCAAAGGTGATCTCTAGTCAGAATAGGTTGGGAAACACTGGATTAGCTGAAATACTAAATTTGGAGCAAGCAGCAGATAATCAGTGCAGTAAGTGAGGAAGAGCAGCTAATCAGAACATATTCATTGTGTGTGTATTCATGTGTGTGTTTTTGGTGGATGATGCAGAAAAGGAATGAGACGTAGTCCTCAAAGAGCTTAGGATCAAGTGGACTGGGGCTGGTGGAGGAGCCATGAATTGCATCAAATAAGGAAAGGAAATTTATACTCACAACACAATCAGGGCTAAACACATGCTACAGTCAAGTTATTCAGAGACATGAGAAGAAAACATCATCATAGCATAGGGGGATTGGGAGAAACTGTGGCAAAACAAGCTGTGTCCAAGATTTGAAAGTAGAAGATGAGACCCTTAAAGGTTCAAAGAATAGCCGAGCAGTAGCCCAGCGATACAAGAGAGGAGAGACCTCTGATTCTTCAGATTCCACGTGCAGCCTTCTACACAGCTTCGAACTTCTGTACATCAATGAAAGAACTCTAGTTTGTCCTGTAACAGAATATGCTTTTCCATCTTAAAAGTAAAGTTCTTACCTTTCTCTCGAAATGTGGAGGTGCATAGTTTTAACAGGCACTGGGTCCACCACTGGTTATAACCAGTCCTCAAATTCGGGCAGAGTCCCAATGAATATCCTGTTACCATAAGAATAAATTGTAAAATTTCACTTACCTGTATGTAAAATAAAACTAGCAAGGAGATAGAAGAACAACATATGTATTCCGTAAACACACATATATGTAATGAGAATATGTATGAAGCCATCTACTGGGGCTTCCCAGGTGGTGCAGGGGTAAAGAATCTACCTGCCAATGCAGGAGAAACAAGAGACGTGAGTTTGATCCCTGGGTAGGGAAGATCCCCCAGAGTAGGAAATGGCAACCCACTCCAGTATTCTTGCCTGGAAAATCCCATGGACAGAGGAGCCTGGTGGGCTATTGGCCATGGGGGTCACAGAGTGTGAGTGCACGCACGCGCGCGCACACACACACACACACACTACTGCCATTGTTTCTGTGCTTTGTCATGAGGCTGTCAATGGTACCCATCTCTTCGTTCGTCCATTGCCCAGTCCACATCACATTTTCCCCATCCTCTGCCAGAAATTCAGCTGGTTGAGGGATCCTACTACCTACTAGAGGGATCCAAACCTTTACTCCCAAGAGGGCTTGAGTCTTCAGTCCTGCCTTTCCTGGTTTCTGTAGTTTTCCAGTAACTTTCACTATTAGGCATGGAAGGACTCAGAAGCTGTCTCAGATAACTCTCTGGTTTCAGACACAGTCCTCCTTGCCTGTGTTGTGTAGTAGGAGCCCACGCTCATGCACCTCATCTACAGTAACTTCCTCTCCCCCCCTTTTTTTGGCCAGTTGGTCGGTAGTAGAAGAGGGCCATAAAGAAGTCAGAGTGCCAAAGAATTGATGCTTTCAAGCTGTGGTGCTGGAGAAGACTCTTGAGAGTCTCTTGGACAGCAAGGAGATCAGACCCGTCAATCTTAACGGAAATCAACCCTGAACGCTCACTGGAAGGACTGATGCTGAAGTTGCAGCTCCAAAACTTTGGCTGCCTGATGCAGAGTCAAGTCATTGGAAAAGACCCTGATCCTGGGAAAGATCAAAGGCAGAAGAAGAGGATGACAGAGGATGAGATGGTTGGATGGCATCGCAGATTCAATGGATGTGAACTTGGGCAAACTCTGGGAGACAGTGAGGGACATGGAAGCCTGGCATGCTACAGTCCATGGGGTTGCAAACAGTCAGACATGACTTGGTGACTGA